AAACCAGACTAAAAATGAAAACTTATCACGTCCCTCGGTGTCTTTGCTGCCAGATAGCCGACCCCCGGCGTTTATACAAGTCGCTGCTGATTGGTTAACACCTGTGACAGACTGGAAACGGGAAAACACAGAGCTCGATGACACACGCCGTTTCGAGGAAACACGTTGTTCAACCCGGTCTCCCCTGAAACCCCAGCAAACCGGTCCAAAATGTTTTGAGATTAAATGTGCCCATGACTTCCTCTCAGGCTGGAGAGGCGTAACAGTATCAGTTTATCGCCAACTTTACCTGGATTAATGAACAGTCGCAGTCTGTGAACCCACAACAGGTAGGTCTCGCAATCTGAATATGTCATTTTAAATAATATCTAATCATTTCTAAATGAATCAGCTTTAGAGCTTTTAGTCATTTGAACAGGACGCCTGCGAGTTTGACAGCAACATGTCAGATAGACCTGTCATTTTAGATTAAAACATTTTTTAAGATTGATTAAGAAACAGTCTTTGCCACAACAAAAGTGAAACTGCACAGATTTTTCATTGATCCGTCTGTGTTGACAAAAGCGAAAGTAAAAGTCACCACATGTTTTTATTATTTGTGTTACAGTAGGCTACTGTCGGTGAAGTCTGTGTGTATGTAAATATGTAACTAATTAGTTACTCATTTAAGTTTTTTATTTGAACTAGTGTTTAGGCAACATAAGCAGAACAAGGTCAAATATAAACTTAATCCTGAGCAAACTTCAAGTTAAAAGAAAACAGTTTTTTATTTACATTCATTTCAATTGGGGATTGAGGGAAAAAATGTTTTTGAAGCCTGCTCAGGATTTAAATTATATTCTCCTTGGACACGAGTTCAAGAGACTCTTTTCCACACAATAATGTTTCCATGGTTTCTGTTCATTTTCCCAACTGCAGGATCACCAGATGGCTGGACTGTCTCTTCAATATCCACTCGGAACAATCAGTTTTTTCATTGTCTACCTTCTATCTCACTTTTGTACAGGTAAACTCACACACAAATATAATTGTATAAGAGTATTTCGTTTTTGGTTCATAGCTCATTTCTGCTTTATTTGCCAGGTATGTGTACACATATGAGGAATTTCACTCTGGACAATGCTCACGATGTGTTTACTCATACGATAATGCAAAGAGAATAATAATCAAACACAGGCTACAGTACAGAGAACACATATATACACACTATGGACAAAAACAGACAGATTGGGACAATAGTGCAATGAGCAGAGTGCAAAGGATGCAGGAAAAAATTATTATTACCGCTATTATTATTATGTCGGAGGTGGATGTAATACACAGGTGCACATACACATACAAGCGTACATGTACACAGTGTGATGAGTGCAAAGAATTTTTTATATTTTTATATGTTTTTATTATGTGCAGTTGTTATGTACATGAGGTAGGTGGATTTGGTATACAGTTTATACAGTATGACAAAATGAACAGAATGACCAGCTTTGAAATGGAGAATGGGGAATAAATAAAAAGCGGTAACCAGTAAACAGGTGCTGATTAGAGACAGAGTTACTGGGTTATCGCACAGGAATTGTTCCTGACACTGTGAGTCAGAAATCAGCTGTTCATCAGAGTGATGGCTTGTGGGAAGAAACTGTTCCTGAGTCTGTTGGTTTTGGTGTACAGAGCTCTGTAGCGCCTACCAGAGGGGAGGAGCTGGAACAGGTTGTGTCCGGGGTGAGATGGATCTGCAGTGATGTTTCCTGCCCGTTTCCTGACTCTGGAAAGTCCTGAAAGGACAAGCAAATGTCAAGCTGAGAAAAGAAGGAAAATCGACCAGAGCCATTGGACAAACATCAGGCACAGCAAGCACAACAATTTGGCAACTGAGCAACAGACGTCGAACAGGTCGGCCAAGGAAAACAACAGAATGATGACAGAAATATTGTGAGAGCTGTGAAGAAAACCCCCAAAACATCAGTAAGTGACATCACCAACGACCTCCACAGTGCAGGGTGAAGGTATCACAATCCACTGTTGGAAGAAGACTCAGAGAGCAGAAAGAGAGGCCACACCACAAGATGCAAACCACTCATCAGCTGTAAGAATCGGAAGGCCAGATTGAAATTTGCAAAGAAGTACAGAGATGAGCCGCAGAAGTTCTGCAACACAATCTTATGGACTGATGAGACCAACATTAATCTCTAGCAAAGTGATGGAAAGGCCAAAGTGTGGAGAAAGAAAGGAACTTCTTATGATCTGAAGCATACAAGCTCATCTGTGAAGCATGGTGGAGGTAATGTCATGGCTTGGGTGTGCATGGCGGCTTCTGTAACAGGCTCATTAATATTTATTGATGATGTAACTGATGATGGTAGCAGCAGAATGAATTCAGAAGTGGACAGAAACATTTTGTCTGCCAATTTACGGAGAAATGCATTGAAACTAATGGGGAGGAAGTTTATAATGCAGCAGGACAACGAGCCAAAGCAAACTGTCAACAAAACAAAGGACTTCATCAGGGGAAGAAGTGGAAGGTTTTAGACTGGCCAAGTCAATCACCTGACCTGAACCCAGCATGCATAACACCCCGAAACAAACAAGAACTGAAAGAAGCTGCGATAAAAGCCTGGAATAGCATCACAAATTAAGAATGTAACAGTTTGGTGATGTTGATGGGTCGGGTTATACCACCAAATATTAAATGTTATTTGCTTTAAGATTATTTGTTCCATTACTTTTGCTCACTTGAAAAATGGGTGGGTTCAAACAAAGGGTGTTATGTCCTGAGTTTTTTTGACACATCTAGATGTGAAAACTTGGAAAAAAAAGCTGAAACTCTGAACTCTTGTCTCATACTCATCTTTTGATCTTGAACCCAAATGTCTTCAGTGAACAACAAAAACAAAGGAATTTGCCTTACTGTTCCAATACTTCTGGAGGGGACTGTATATCAACATAGGAAATGCTCAGTTGAAATAAAATTTAAAAAGCGGATACATACTGGAGTGTTGCACTGAGAGCAGCTGAGCGTACGGCTCAGAAAGAACAGAAGAAGAAAAGTATTGCGAGGGAAAAAGTAGTCCTCAAAAAATTCCTCTTGTGAGCCTTCGGAGCCACCGTATCTGAGCCCTGCAACAAACACACTGTTTACTTTTAAAATGTAAAAATTCATATCACAGTATCTGTCAAAATAAACCCAGTATGATTTTTTTGTATATAATTCAGCTCTAAGAACTAATTTAACTATTTTGTTTCCTTCCAGGTCACTCTCAGTTAATTGGTTCTCCTCAGCCAATAGTGACAAAAGTTGCCGATGACATCATCTTGCCATGTCATCTGCAGCCTGCAGTGGATGTTGCTGCCAAGACTATTGAGTGGGCAAGACCAGACCTGGACCCCAGATTTGTGTATGTGTGGCGTGCTGGTCAGGAACTCCATCCTCCAAAAAATCCATCCTACAAAGAAAGAACAACTCTGTTCACTGAAGAACTGAAGCACGGAAACATTTCACTGAAACTCTCCAAAGTGAAACCTTCTGATGAGGGGAGATACAAATGTTACATTCCAGATATGAACACAGACGCCTCCGTTGAGCTTGTTGTTGGTGAGTAGATACATGATGTATGTGTAGTGCAGTTTGGTGTGTAGTCTGTGCAGCGTATCCAGTGAATAACTGAGGTAGGATCAAAACAGCTTTCAGCCATTCATGTTGGGACATGAAGAGTTCAACTATAGCCATCAAACACCAGTTTAATGGTTACATGTTCTTGAGAACAGCTGAATTAAATATAAAACATACAATCATATAAAATAGACACAATGTGATGTGTCTTACTTTGTGACAGACTTTCAAATAGATGTTAGCTGATCCTTCATTAAACCCTGCATGTTACTGTTGCTACAGCTGTCAGGCTTTAGATCTAGCACACCATATATGCAGTGTACAAGAATGATGGCAGCAGATTTACCACTGAAAATTATTAGTAATGTGTGAAACAACTGGTCCTTATTTTTTCTTTAATTTACATAAAAGCTGAAAAAAAAAGTTTACATTTGACCTTGTTGTAGTTCAATGTGTTAACATGTTAACATTTGATCATTTGGACCAAACACAAAGTGCAGCTGAGGCTGGAATCTCATTAGTTTTGTAAATATTTACCAAAGTATTGGACACAATGAAATGTTGTAGATTTACATTTATACATCTTTTTTTTATTATCAATGCAGTCTTTGTAAAACTGACCTGTATTTTAAATGTTCCTCTTGCTCAACATCAGGGGCCGTCTCCTCACCTGTCATCAGTTTAGCAGGGATTGACAGACACAAAGGGGGAGTGGTGTTACAGTGTGAGTCTGCAGGCTGGTATCCAGAGCCTGAGGTGTTTTGGCTGGACGGTGAGGGAAACCTCCTCTCTGCTGGACCTACAGAGACAGTCAGAGGTCCTGATGACCTCTATACTGTCAGCAGCAGAGTGACTGTGGAGAAGAGACACAGCAACAGCTTCACCTGTAGAGTCCAACAGAAGAATATCAACCAGACCAGAGACACTCACATCCAGGTTCCAGGTAGAAATGATTGATGATGTGATCAATGTTTTAGTTTCAAATAGCTGAAGTCTAGTGTTCTATAAACCATGTTATTTTGTGTTTTATCATTTCAGATGATTTCTTTGAGGTCCAGTCCAGTTTGTCCCCCGTCACGGTTGGATTGGCTGTTAGTTTGGCTGCTTGCATCATGATCATTTTGTTACTTATCTTTTCTTTGTGGAAATGCAGACAGAACAGAATCAGTGAGTTGCAACTTAATTACAGATTAATGGGACATAGTAATGTGATTAATTGTGTAAATGAATATGATTGAAATGTCATTATTTTTTTCTACTTTTATTTGTAATAAGTCAAATTCTCAAGTGTCTTATTTTTGTTGCCCATTAACACCTAATTTTAGACTCAAATGTCTCATATGCTGTGATGCAAGGACATGACTTTAATTCTACTGCCTGTATTTTCACACAGAGAGCAAGAGAAGCCACAGGGATGAAATGGATAAAGGAGAACAGAAGGAGCGCTTTAAAAGAAACAAACCTGAAGATGAGCTCCACATTGAAGCAGAAAGAGAGCAGCTCATGACAAATGAAACAGTGACAATGAAGAGTGTGAAGAACAAAAAAGGGGAAAGAAAGACAAAACATGTAAGTAAAGAAACAGGACATAACATTCAAAGCAAAGTCAATGGAGATTAAACAAGGATGTGGCCTGTAAATCTGACCCAAGTGAATCATGCAGATCTGTAATAAAAAAAAGAAGAGGGGGGTTCAGGAGCTGGCGGAGTGAAATGGAAAGGATTTGAGGTCATTTATATAGGCTGACGTGTAAAATATAATATATAAAGTATCAACAAGGATGTTTCCCCACCTGCGCAGTGTGTACCACAGTCGCTCTCGCGTATGTTTTGATTATCGCTTGTTATAGGCTATATGTCTAAAGTTTGCTTTGACTTTGTTGTCGATTGATCACTCCTGTAGTCTACACACACTTTGCTGTATGAATGGTTTTTAGGTCGTGCTTATGTTAAAGGTTTTGGCACGTTGTGACAGGATTTATATGAGGCCTTTTCATACGGCTCTGCGCTCCTCATCAACAGACAGGCAAACAAGTGCTTCACGAGGTAACCATGGCAACGGCTTCTGTGTAACTGCCGTGATCCTGTGAAACTGGCCCGCCCGCTGCCAGAGTTGAAATGTCAAATTTTTTCCTACATTTTATCAATACACAAAACAACCTTTGCTGCTTTAACTTCTACTGAACTAATTTGAAAGTTAGTAGTTATATTATTTAGTTATAGACTCAATTATTTCATGTTGCATGTTGCACATGTAGCTGTTGAAGTTTGGTAAAAAAAATAATACAAAATAATAATTATTAAAGAGGATGCGAAGGCGCAGTGGATCAGAAATTTGTCTTTAAATTCCCACTGCAACACATCCACCAAATAAGTTATTGTCATGGCTCCTGCTTTACCATCCATGTTATAATAGAGCCGCCGCCAGTTTTATCAAGGTGTGGGGGGGTCTCAGTATATTTTCCTGCTTTTTTGCCCCAATCGCATACCTGATTAAAACAACACAACAATTAACGAGGTAGAGAGGCAAGAAACAATTACAAATTCTAATAAAATAAATATGCCTAAAATCATGTCAGGATTCTTGTCCCTGTTTCTGTCTCTCCTCTCTCTCAGTTTAAGGAGCAGCAGCTGCAGGAGGAGCAGCAGAGGAGGGAAGAAGCTGAGAAAAGAGTTCAGACACTGAAAGATGAGCTGGAGACCAAGAGGAATGAGGTTCATCTTTAGTTTAATAATATAATACATTGATTATAGTATGAAGTCACATTTTTATGTCACAGTAGTTTATGTAGGTCAAGTACAAAATAAAGTCTTATTTGTTTTTTTTTTGTCACAGATGTTAATTTATAGTGTAAAGTTTTAAACATTTGTCTCATTTCCTCTCTTTAAAACTTCTCGCTGTCCTTCCAGGTTGAAACCAAACAAGCTGAGCTGCAGCAGCTCCAAGAAGAGAAGCAGAGGAAGGAGAACGACCTGCAGACTGTGAAGGAAGAGCTGGAGAACAAGAACAAAGAGGTTCATGTCTTTATCTTAATCTTTCTGTATTTACTGTGTCACAGCCCAGACTCAGTGAGCCACACAAAGAGGGAGAATACACACCATCAGAAACTTAAGTTCTTTGTAAGTTAGTGGTGGTTGTTGTGTTGAGTGGATGTTCGGTGTTGTGAAGGCAACAAAGAGAGAATGAGGAGTCAGCCTAACTACTAAATGGCCCCTTTCATCAGTGAGCAGGAGGAGCAGTGACAGCCAGCCAGAGGCTCAACACTCATCACTTCTGCTGTTTCTCAGTCACTAAATGATAATTAATAAAGTACACAATATTTACTTTATTCACTGGTACACAAATCCCGTACTTGACTAAAAGTAGAGCTATCCTTGATAAATATTACTCCATTAAAAGTAGAAGTCTTCAATTTAAATTTCTACTTGAGTCAAACTACAAAGTACCTGCTTTAAAAAGTAAAAGTACCGTTAGTATAGTTTTGTTTGTCAGGTGTTGCTGAGATGACAAACTGACTTGTTTGAACACAGTAGGCAAACTTTCCTGTATATTAAACAATTTGCATACGTCAGGTTTCCCTTTAATAATAACTCTAGTTACTCAGTTATATGTGTGGATATATTCAGGTTCTTAAGTAAAAGTACAACACTGTAAAAAATACTCTGTTCGGAGTAAAAGTCCTGCATTGAAAATGTTACTAAAGTAAAAGTATGTAAGTATAATCAGGAAAATGCACTTCAAGTATTAAAAGTAAAAGTACTCATTACTCAATGTCTCGTGACTGTTGTACTAATATTACATTATTATTACTCATGCAGTAATTGTGTGAGTAAGTAGTGTAACTGTCCCATTAGTTTGTAAAACTACTCACATGATTTAATGTGAACTCATGTGTTTCTTTGTGTCCTTCACCTCCATCCCAGCTGGAGAGAATTCAAACCAGCCGAGGCAGCAGTGTATTTACTCGGGTAAGTGGTTAGAATATAATTAAGATAACACCACAACACAAAGTAAGTACATTATTGTAATATGTCCATATTTTTAGATTGTGAATGAGACCAAATGCAGAAACAGACTGAGCAGCATGAGCAACTTTAACAAAGCAGCAGAGATAATCTGAATATATAATGAGGGAAAACCACATTACTACCAGTGTTGGCAAGTTACTTCCAAAATGTAATACATTATAGATTACTAGTTACTGTCATTTGAGAGTAATTATTTATGTGACAGTATTACTGTCTCTGAATTGTAAAGCTTTGCACTACTTTTGATGTGCTGCATAGGTGGATTCTAGTGATGTGCAGATCGCAGTTATATCTGTCGGGGGGGAAACAGGATGAATCGTCTCCCCATTAAGAAAGACACTGTGTGCATTTACGCACGAGGTGCAGCAGCATAACCTCATTAATCATTTTAATCTCCCGACGCTCCGACAGGATCGATCAGGATGAACTGACAGCAGCCTCTCTGATCATGGAAGTAATTCGTTAAAGCACAAACACATATAGAAATCTATTTACGCACGATCCATCAGGGGAGCTAACGTCTTGTTAAGAGGAGTCGAGCTCACCCTGCCTACAATCTCCACCGTTGGATTACAGCAACAGGAAGTAATGTTGCTCTTTTACTCATGGATTTGTTTTTCTGCTGCCGAAATGTTTCTCAGTGTTGGTGAATTATTAAAAAACACCCATTACTTTTGGGTTAAAATGTGTTGTAACGCACGTTACTGAGATGGTAACGGGTATAATATTATTGATTCTCTTTTAGTAATGAGTTATATTACTGTGTTACAGCAATAAGTAATACATTGCTGTAACTGCGTTACTTTTATAACTGTGTTACTCCCTTGAAACAAAACTATCCAGGAAACTTTGCCAATGAAATGCAAAATTTCTTCTACATGAGAGCTGAGATTTCTCACTTGTTATTAAGCAAAAGTCATGATGCTTCATTTTTGCAAGATGGGTGATTGTATAATATGTTCAGTCATCTGTCTTAATAAGCTCTGGGTTCAAAATAAGGAAGCTGAGTTGGAGACACTGAAGTCAAAGCTGGAGACCCAGGAAATGGAATTAAAGACCAAAATCAAAAAGGTTTGTATTTGTATCTTTTCTTCAACAGATTTGGTTTCAGCCACCTACTGGTTTGTTTTCAGTTTAGCTTCTCTGTCTGGGTCAGGAACAGGTCGAAGAGGGTTTGAGACTGGAATGATTTTTATCCTTTTTAAGAGGGCTGTGATTTCCAGTTAGAAACAAAATGACTCTGGGGCTGTATAAACAGTGGAGGACACAAACAGGTGGCTTCATTCAAATGAGTCTCTGCTGCCAGTTTGGCGTCGCTGTTAAAACAGCAGCGATTATGGAGAAATGCTTTAATCCATTTAGATTACACGCTGTCCAACCAGTAGATGCATTTTGTAACGATAGAGAACATCAGTAAATCAGTCTGTGCTAAAGATTATTAGCAGTGACTCTCACAGTGTGTCCACAGCTGCTACACAACACCAGGCTGCTGCAAAGCAACCACAGCCTCGTCTGCACAGGCTCTCAGGCTGGTCAGGTGTGATTCAGTATTCAGTTCATACAGATGCTGGATTACTGTGGCTCATTATTCCTGTGCACCAGGGCCTCCTTTCAACTTCTCTGGCTAAAGTGTTGTTTTAATGTTTTATTCTCTAGATGCATTTTAAATTCTTATTTGATGTGATAAAGAACTTAAACTCACAGGATTGAATTTATGTAGAAATTCACATTTTCAATCCAAATCAAAGTGTGTTGTTTTTATTGTACCCCCACATTATATATGGAGGCCAGCTGCTACCAAAACAGCAGGAGTGCTTTTCACCCAGTCTGTGCACCGAGGGAGTCACTTACTTCAGAAACTTTCCAATTAGACGCACAAATAAAACCATGATATAGGTTTTATAGTTTTTCTGTTACTGTTGACATGTTGCAGTACATTAACTCAAATATTCATTCATAGTTAAACATGTCTCTCATATTGTGTCATCTTCTCGTTCCTCCCAGTTTAAAGACAAACAAGCTGAAGTCCAGCAGCTCCAGGATCAGATTCAGAGAATGGAGACCATCCTGCAGACGGAGGAGGTTCATTATTCTACTGAACTAAAAGTATCAGAGTATCCAAATATTTATAGAGATATTTGGTATCAGTGTCGATGCTCAGACATTCAGCAACATTCATCATCAATAACTTTTCATCATCATCATCATCATCATGTGTTGAACATTCAGACCTTAAACCTGAAGGTGCTTTGTGGAGTTTTCTTGTGATTAAACAGAAGTTATATTTACATTCAGTGTTACTCACCAAAACACATTGTGTGTGTTTGAGGTCTAAATTTAATTTCACTCAAGTATTTTAAATCCAAAATTGTGAACATCCATGTTTACTACAGCAGTTTCTACACAAATGCTGTCATGAATATTGGATTAACATTCATAAGGTGATACAAACTTAACATGTAACTGCAGGACATGTAAAAGAGAATCTCTTTAACAAACAATTCACTACATCACCTTTAATATTTTGTTCCCAACTTGTTTCTGCTGCCTCTCAGTGGCTAAAGGTGCAAAAGAACTGTGAATTTGCTCCATCTATAAAACTAGAAACCTGCTGCTTTTCTTTAACATGAACAGTTAAAAATGCTGCATACGTCAGACCACGGAGTACCTTCCTGTCATATTTTATTGTTTATAACTCACATACATTAATTGTGAAATTAAAAGTGAAAAGTTCTCTCATCTTCTGTCTTTATCTTCTCTCTCCTCTTAGCTGGAAAGACTGACAGCTGAAGTCCAGAAGTTCAAACAGGAGAAGCAGAGGAGTGAGGACGACAAGAAAAAGCCGCAGTATCAGCTGGATAGCAGGACAAACGAGGTTCATCTTTCACAAACCTATTTGCTTGTTTTTAGTTTTAAATCTCACAGTTGCTTTTTTATTTTATCTGGTCAGAGGGAAGAGAACAGAAAAGTTGTGCTTAAATACTCAATAATTGTAATAATTAATAAACAAGTTTTAATTGATGAATTAATTCAACATTCAATTCATTTGCACTATTTTATTTGTCATTTTATGTCGTCATGGTACTCCCCTCCCTTGTCTCTGTGCGTTATGAGAATATCCAGCAAGTCGTTACATTTTCGACTAAGTCAGAACTTATTCTGTAAAAGTGTTTCCATCTCTCATTTAGTGCAGTAACTCTTTTCTAACAACAACCACCTCAAGCGAGCGTAAAAAATATTTTTGTGAAATTAAAGAAATCTTTATTTTTTATTTTGCTGTGTCCGTCAACATTTTCTAATGTTATACTTCAGAAGGCACGTAAAAAAACCTTGATGGAAACACAGCTCGTGTGTGTGTTAGCTGGAGAACAAGCAACAGTCAGCAGCACACAAAGTAAATAATCAGGGCCCGTATTTATCAAACTTCTCAAAGTGCCATTTTAGTCTTAAGTGCTCAGAATTCACGAAATTTACTCCTACTTTCAAACTTAAGTATAAAAGCAAGTTATGAATTTTTTTAAAGCTGAGAGTCACTCTGACTCTCCGGGTTATTTAAGACGGCTCCAGAAGTCTCTCAGGTGGTTAGGAGCTGCCAGTAGGGTTTGTGATGGCGCTGTGGAGACATGCGCAAATCTTTCAGGAGAGGAAGAATGTTTCTGAATTATTTGACGATGTTAATGAACATGACAACTTTTTATAACAGAATCAACTCTGGACAGGTAGTTGTGATATGTCGATATGAAGGGCAGCCCTGCTAGTAGTCTGTTGTTTTCTTTTTTAAACACCAACATGTTTCTTAATCATGAAGAGATCTATTTTTTTACAGCATTTAACGGCACTTTCCTTCTGCTTTTCGCCACCTCTGCTCTGCTTTTTCTCTTTCCTTCGTTCACCTGTGCATTTTTCTGCACACTGGACGGCCACGCACACTCATGCACTGACTGATGACAGAGATCAAACCATCAACTTAAAAGTGACCGCCATGTCTGTTGGTCTACAGGTCTGAGGGACTGTGGTTTCCCTGTGACAGATTTAAGTTTTATATTCTCTTTTACAAAAGTCTGGATGTCATATTTGACGTGCGCACCCTCGCGAGAGAGGTGAGAGAGTGAGACGCGCCTGTTGTGTGGATTCGCCTGCTATTAAAAAGCTTGCTTTGTCATGGCTGCCGCAGATTAAGTGGATGATTAACGGCGGGCAAACATCCCTCGGTCCGACAGTCCGTGAGTTTAATCTCCACAGCGTCTTCTTGTTTACAGTGTCGTTGGTCAGTAGCGCACAAGACAATAGGCTTCACTAATGGACCAATGAGCAAACATGTGCAGGTAGTACTCATGGGAGTTGGAGTGTCATAGTGTCACATTGCAATTCGTTTGTTATTTCAGTCTTTTGACAAGACTACAATTTTTCAACACGCCAAAGGGGCTAGTGGGAGTGACTGTGTTACCCGTCACGGCCGAAATCCACCCGCATTTGGCGGTTGTTAATGTTAAACCCTGATTATGTCACTTACAGCTTCACTCATTGTCACATGTTTCATCGTCTTCCCAACAACACCCCCTGTAATCTGACAGATGGTTCATGCAAATAAATTCACAGGAGTAGAAGGTGCATTTGATGGCGCTCATATAAAGATCAACTTTCTTTAATTTATTAATGTGTATATCATAATGTATTATCTTGAAAATTCTTTATTGTTAAATGTGTGTTGAATATAAACTCCTCTCAGGAATTTCACCTTTCAACGTGAATTTATCTGAGAATATTCTCCAATAAGGAAATCTCTTCAGTGATTGGTCCTTGGCTACATCGTCATCCAAAATTCTGTTTGCAGCACAGCAAAGTGTCGTGAATCAGCACTTAGACTGACACTTAAGATTTAATCCTACACTTCACTCAAATTAGGACTATGATGCCTGATAACTAACTTTTAAATGCAGCTTTGAGCCAAGAATGTTTTTACTCTTAAGTCAGTTCTTAGCAGCGTTTTTATGAGTAAATCTGAGAAGCTTGATAAATACGAACCCTGGAATCCTCATCATGTGTTTTCACTGACAGAAACCAGCTGATATGAAGAAAAACACTGAGACAGACTTTTCTTAACTCACATACTTTAATAAGAGAAAAGTTCTCTCATCTTCTGTCTTTATCTTCTCTCTCCTCTTAGGTGGAAAGTCTGACAGCTGAAGTCCAGAATCTCAAACAGGAGAAGCAGAGGAGTGAGAACGAGCTGAAAAACAAGCTAGAGACTGAGAAAAATGAGGTTCATCTTTCATTGATATTGATTTGTTTCTACAAACCTTTGTTTGTTTTTAGTTTTAAATCTCACAGTTGGTGTTTTATTTTATCTGGTCAGAGGGAAGAGAACAGAAAAGGTGTGCTTAAATACTCAATAATTGTTATAATTAATAAACAAGTTTTAATTGTTTATTAATTCAACATTCATTTGCACAATTTTATTTGTCACTTTATGTCGTCATGGTACTCCCCTCCCTTGTCTCTGTGTGTTATGAGAATATCCAGCAAAGTCGTGAGTTACATTTTCACTACGTCAGAACTTATTCTGTAAAAGTGTTTCCATCTCTCATTTAGTGCAGCAACTCTTTTCTGACAACAACCACCTCAAGTGAGCGTAAAAACTTTTTTTGCGAAATTAAGTTTTTTCAGATTTTGCTGTGTCCATCAACCTTTTCTAATGTGATACTTTACAAGGCAGATATTAAAACCTTGATGGAAACACAGCTTGTGTGTGTGTGTTAGCTGGAGAACAAGCAACAGTCAGCAGCACACAAAGTAAATAATGTTGAGTCCTCATCATGTGTTTTCAGTGACAGAAACCCTTTAACCAGCTGATATGAAGAAAAACACTGAGAAGAGAGAAAAGTTCTCTGATCTTCTGTCTTTATCTTCTCTCTCCTCTTAGGTGGAAAGTCTGACAGCTGAAGTCCAGAAGCTCCAACAGGAGAAGCAGAGGAGTGAGGACGAGCCGAAAAATCAGCTGGATACCAGGACAAACGAGGTTCATCTTTTATTGATATTGATTTGTTTCCACAAACCTATTTGTTTGTTTTTAGTTTTAAATCTCACAACTTCACTTTGATTTTTCTGTATTTATTTAAACATCTCTCTACACCGTCTTCTAAGATGAGAGAAAAACATCCACTGACTTTTCTTTTAGGTTTTCTTACTGAATTATACACTTCTTTCTACTCGCTATTTAAGCTTCATTTTACTTTTAGTTTATTAACGTGGTAAACAACAAAAATAACAGAAACAGTTATAACCTGTGAATTACTCTTACATCAAACAAGATGTGTCAGGGTGGGTTTGCTGGGGCGATGGGGTCTGGACCCAAACACAGATGAAACCGGCAGACTGATGCTGTTTAATGATTTATTGCAAATATTAGCTGACATGCATGAAGGTGGAAGCTCTGAGGAGTTAATGGAAAGAACATGTCCTGATAGAGAGCAGTCATGCAGAGGGCTCGGGAGGAAAGTTTGTGGCTGAAGAGGGACTGAAGAGCAAACTGTCACAAGATGTGAAGCCTTTGATCCACCACATATACAAAAAACTTCTGGTTTTCTCGGGCTTATTCTTCACAACACTGATATGCTTATGCTTTCAGTTACTAGTAACTTCATTTACACCAGATCAACCAACAGAAAATAATTGTCTCCCTGACTGACTGTCAGGTGTTCATCTCTCTCTCTCATCAAGACAGCTCAGACATCATTCTGAATCAGTTATTTTTTAATTTTTGAAATTATAACCAGAGAAGCAGTATCAGAGTAAAAGTACTCAGTGCAGTAAAGTGTCCCCACTGATTGTTTTGCTATTAATTGCAAAGTGAACCATTTTCTTTCCTTTTAAAATATATATTTTATATTATAAGGTATAGTTTAAAATTTAAAATTAAATTCCTTCCAATGCCTAAACGTCATTCACAAACTATACTATCCTACACATTGACGTTCTTTATGTTTAGAGTCTGTTTGAGGTCAAACTCCCTGTTGGACTTTCTCTTATAATAAATGTTATAAAACCAAATTAGAGAAATTCAAACAGACTTATTTGGGTTTTAGGAGGAGCTGCTGAAACATGCTTCCATCATTCACAGATAAAGAGCAGATCATTGTATTTATTCAGGCTTTACAGCAAAAGTAATGTGTCATTTTCAGTAGACTACTGAAACATGTCATATTTTGAAACAGAAACACCACTGTACTGAGTGTTGCTGGTGTAACAGATCAATCACATTTCCTCTCATGTTAAAATGCTTTACCGTCATTAAACTTTCCCGAGAAGAGTAGCCTTCTGCCAGGGTCAGTGAGGAAGCACAGGAGGAGCCACCAGCGGTTTCATCTGCTCTTTGGACACAACAGTTGCCTGTGTTTTCATATCACTGTAAATGGACTTAATTTTCTTTTTGACAGCATCAGTGCTCTGCTGGATGCTGGATCTGCGGGAGAGATCTGTCCACTCTCTCTTTAATCTCCCCAGTTAAGCGTTATGTGGATTTCTCGATAGAGGTTACAAACACCTCTAAGTCATCTGACTTGAAGTTCTATGATAGTTGTTGTTTCTGCTCCATTTTCAGTTTATGTTTCATTTAAAAAACAATCAAAAAACAGCGATTAAAAGCCGTTTAGCTGGGCGAGATGAGAAAAGTGTCATTGGTTGCTAGGTAGCAGACATAAAAATTGATAACCGATGTTGGATTGAGTATTTAGGATTTTAAGATAGGATTCCTAAAGTTAGTTAGGATTTGCTTCTGTAACACCAAATTGAGAAAAATCCTATCTTAGACCCGTCTTATCTGAACTTAAGACTTCTGTAATACGGCCCAAGATTTGTTCTGATTCTCTGTCAGACTGTCACTTCCTGCAGTAAAACACTGCTGAAAGATCAACATCAGTGTGTGTGTGTGTGTGTGTGTGTGTGTAATAATGAGCATACAGCATTATTACACCTAATAATGTTTTGTATGTGTTTTATATAATAAAAGGTCTACTCATGAACTAACCTATATTTCTCTGATTGCCTAAAAGTGATTCTGGTTTTTATTTTCTTATAACATGTTGGATTCATCAGTTAGTAGTGTGCTGGTTTTTCCACCTGAGTAATCCCTCTCCAGTATATTTATAGTCTAAAGTTCTCAGAGTAAACAGATTAAACCTGGGCAAAACTGTGTGCACATTAAAAGGTAATAAATCACAACCTCCAGCCAATCAGGAATGAGTTTCCATCCAGTCCAGAATATTGTGTACACTAAATAAAACAAATTGTCTCTAATCTTGGGGACCAGAAGAAAGGAAGCTAAAGAAGAAGTGAAGAAGCTAAAGGAGGAGCTGCATGTTTTTTAACCTGAAGTTTTGTTATTAATTGTTATTCAATTATTGTTTCACTTTCTTTTAATGTTCTTCACAAATTATTAATCTGAAATCAAGAGAAGTCGAACTACATAAGAGCAAATCAGAGACACCAAATAACTGGCAAATAAAAATATGACACACACACACACACAGGGATATAAGCAGCATATCAAAAAGCTACTTTGTTGATTATTCTTGAATGATTAATCTGTGTGTGTTGTCTCCCTGAACAGGGCGGTACCAGCTCAGCCAGTCAGAGCTCGAAAGGACATGTCATCAAGGTTGAGGTCGAGCAATGGAAAAATTGTATCCGTCTCAAAAACACATCCAGTGAGGTAATGGTGTTTGTGTGTGGATGAACACTGTGTGAGTGATATATGTGTGTACAATACGTATAGCATTGAGTTATCCAAGAGTAAACCGGAATATTCCAATATCAATATTTATCAATATCAAAGCTAATGAACTGTTATTTTACCCAGAATGCATTTTGTCAACACAACTGATTTAACTCATGCTGTAACGTTCATTTTTTAGTCTCTTTCTCCAATCTTACCTCTCATGGCCAATTTCCCTCCTGTAGGACCAAGAACTGGGAGACTGGACGTTAAAAGTACAAATCACTGACAAAGAACCCATCTCATACACATTTGAGAAACCATTCAAACTCAGTCCTGGAAAAACTCTCACTGTGAGTCTTTATTTGTTTCTCAATTTATGTTGTTGTGTCATCGTCATTCTTTCTTCCTTCTGCCTCAATTGTTCAATTTCTAATTAAACTAAAAGAAAATTATATGGAAATAATAATAATAAATTGTAACTTTGATTATTTAATGGGTTTAAAAATTCTGCTTGTAAGTCTGTGGTCTTTGCATTTTACAGGTGGGGGGCCCAAAGTATATTAGTTATAATAAAACTGACCAGGTGTGGGAGGACCTGAAGCCCTGGAGCAATGGAGACAACCTGCAGGTCTTCCTCATCAGCAACTCTGGAGAGATCCAACATATCTCAGTTCATAGCGAATGAAAGACAATAATGAGCCCGCTGTCACACTATTTTTATCTTAATTTACCTTTTTGCTCCTTTTAACTACAAAAATCTCCCCATTTAGCTTCTTTTATCACCAACATGAAAGGACCGTGATAAAAAGTTACCATCACACCAAAATGCTGAACAGTAAATAGTGCTGTAATCCAGCAAACCTGAAAACACTGAACATTAAACATCAGGAACAGCACGACTCAGATCTTCCTGTGAAAACACATGTTGTAGTGACGTCCAGTGAACACAAGGTCACATCACGTCCGGATCTGGAATCAACAAAATGAGACCTTTTTATTAAGGTTGAATCAAACTTTATTAAATTTCTCTTCTTTATCTTCAACAATTGAAAACATGTTTTATCTGAAAACTGAACTGCTATAAAGACAAAGAGTAAAATAAATTAAACTCTAAATCAAAATGTGAGCTAATGTAACTCAGGAACTTTGAGTATTTTTGCTGGATTGAATATTTTTGAAAATGTTTTATCCTTTTACAGTAATTACTGTATGTCACAGTTATCTTCTGGATGGAGTTTCCAGCCCATTGATTTTATAAATCCTCAGACTTTACATTTCATTTTTATTTTGTTATTCTCTGTTTTGTAGGAATTCAATGTATATAAGTATGTATAACAATTTGTTCTTGTCTGCTCTGAGTTCTGATCCTTGTTTTAGTCTAACAAACTTTTGTTAACTGAAATTACAAAATATTTTTGTCGTATTTGTTTATTTGACTTTAAAATATGTACATAAATTATTACCTTGCTTTTTAGTTAAACAGTGGCAGCAGCTGCAGGAATTGAACATTATTTACAATTGTAAATTGCACCTTTTTAAGGAATGCTGATCATAAATCTCAGTGAATCTAAGAATTCAGAAACCATGTTGAATGTGAGGTTCACCTTTACAAAGAAAATAATAATATTCACAAAGTACACAGATAACAGGTCACCTGGTATACTTTAACACCAGGTTTCTTGGCCAAATATTATTTGATGGCAGGAACAAGAAGAATTATTTGGTTGGAAAATTGACACAGAAAATTAAAGGTAATGTTAAACACTCGCTGATGTCTTCATATTTAATATTAAGTAAATGCAAACAAATCTGATGTGTGAGTCTTTAACTTGATTTAGCAGAGCTGAGTATTTGGCACAGAAACATGTAGTTTAGATAGACATAATGATCCGTCATGAAACAAACAAACAACACCAAGAATACAGCAGCAGTCCTGAACCTGTTTGGCTTTTTACCCTTTAAATTGAAGCAAATTCATGTTGTGACCCTGAATAAGCAGCTCAATAAGTTCACCAGCAGTGACCAGTTCAACCAACAACTTAGTTCGATAAGTTCTTTGTGTATTGAGCTCAAGCCAGCGAGTGTTTGATATGAATGAATCTCTCAGCTGGAGATCTTTAAGCTACACATTTTTCTCATATACTGAGCTTTTGTTTTGTTAATCAAAATTAAATTAAGAAAATTCAATGCACAACTTGTATTGAAAATTTGCTGATTTAACTCTCAAAATACTTACGAAATACTTAATACTTGTCAAAATACTTGATATGAAAACTGTTGAGAGTCTTGAGGTAAAATGATCC